CTCTCTCTCTCTCTCTCTCTCTCTCTCTCTCTCTCTCTCTCTCTCTCTCTCTCTCTCTCTCTCTCTCTCTCTCTCTCTCTCTCTCTCTCTCTCTCTCTCTCTCTCTCTCTCTCTCTCTCTCTCTCTCTCTCTCTCTCTCTCTCTCTGTATGTGTGGCTGCTCGTAAGCCTGTCCGTCCGTTTGTCTCCACTGCCACCATGTGAGTCGCCATCTCATTGTTACAAACTTACACCCCTCGCCTTCTCCACCATCATCAGGATGATGCGATGCGGTCGTTCTACACGGACAAGGACGTGACGGCGCTCGTCAACACGTGCTCCGACCGCGACTTCAAGCCCGTCGACCTTCTGCTCACCGCGAGGTGAAGTACAAAACCCAGCAGTGCCGTGCGAACGAGAGCATCGCAACACACACTCACACCCACACTAACATGTACACTTACGCCTACACTTACACTTACGCTTACACTCTCTTGTACGGTCTGTCACACACACACACACACACACACACACACACACACACACACACACACACACACACACACACACACACGAACAACGACCAGGTGGCCAGACACAGTGCTGTCGAACCAGGCAGGGCGGATCTCCAGCACAGCGTGGATCGTGCAGAATCCAGGCGCCGCTGCCGTTGCCCGTGCTGCCGCGCCCCGCTACCACTTTGCTGCCGGCCAAGGTGGCGTGCAATGGCATGGCCTGTCATGGTGTGTTTGTGACGTGTTTGGTTGTGTGTGTGTGCGTGCGTGTGTGGTGTGCCTTGCTGTGGCGAGGCCACCGGTTTATGGTGGCGGGGTGAGTTGCAGGCGTCTGGTGTTGCGTTGCCATGCTGCGGGGGAAATTGGTTGCTGGTGCTGTCAAGCTTGACGTCACATGATTCTGGCCCCTGGTGAACGGTACATCACAGCTTCTTCCTATCCCTCTCTTTCTCTCACCCTCGCCCATCACATCACCGCCACCACGATGACCATCGCCAACATCAGAGTTCTTTGAGCGCGCGCCATACCGCAACCACCAGCAGGACCAAGCCCCGCGCCCAGCAACCCGCTTCCTCGGTCTCGCCCCTGTTGCCAACCCGGCAAAGAGCAAGGTGGGCAGATGTGCGCTGGTTGTGCTGGTTGCGCTGGTGCTGTTGCTGTGATCAAAGCGTGCGTAGTTCCTGTCGCCTGCCCTGTCTTGCGCCCTTCTCAAACTGTCGCACCCCCCGCCCCAAATACCTGTTCGCGTGCTCACGTGCTCACGTGTCAATTGCAATGTCGTTTCATGCCGCTCAAGTGGATCTACGCGTTCTCCATCACGCCTGCTGCCAAGGAGGCTGCATCGAAGCTGCTCGCCATCCCAGACAACGCCACCACCTCCCCATACGGTGCGTCAGGCGGATGCAATGGCGATCACGGCGTTTGGCGAAGGGCAGGCGGCGGTGGTGAAGTGGCATCAAGTTCTGCCTGTTCACGTCAAGTGCTGCGTGTTGATGTCCGTATCTGCATCCTTCCGCTGCCTCAACTTTGCTTCAGTATCACCTTCCTTTCACACACACGCACACACACACACACACACTCATTCACTCATACACACACACACGCTCATTCATGCACGCAATCCCTCACGCGTACATTAACCCTCTCCCTCTCCCCCTAACTTTCATCCACTTTCCTCCGCGCGTTCAGATCGATCCCTGCCTCCTCCGCAGCAGCAGCGGCAGCAGCAGCACCCGGGGCGTGGCGGCCCACCACGACCGTTGTCATCATCATCACAGCAACCACCACCATCCTCATTCCAGCCGCAGCAGCAGCAGCAGCAGCAGTCGTTCTTCTGGTCATCAGATGCTGCTGGTGGCGGTGGCCGCCGTCCCCGCGATTCCAGCGCTGCGAAGAGGAGAGACCGCTCCTCGGGACCGCCAGCAAAGCGACGTGCGGTGATGTTGTGTTGTGCTGTGTGTGTGTGTGTGTATGTGTGTGTCTGTGTGTCTGTGTCTGTGTGTCTGTCCTTTTGACGTTACCGATGGACTTGTGCCTCCCCCCCCCGAGTCCTTAACGGCCGTTCTCCGTGTCCACTATCATCCATCCACTCGCGTCCGCCCGCATGACAGCACCCGTGACGCCGGCCTCGTGTTGGTTTTGTCTCGGGAGCCCAAAGGTGGAGCGCCATCTCGTTGTCAGCGTCGCCAAGCAGGTGTGGCCCTGGTGGCAGTTTCATCGTTTCGATGTACCTCTGCATTGTACATGAATTCGATGAATGCACACACACACACACACACACACACACACACACACACACACACACACACACACACACACACACACACACACACACACACACACACACACACGACGACGACGACGACGACGACGCCATCCATGCTTCACGTGCATCCCCCTCATACTAATAACACATACCAAAACTGATTTCTCTTCTTTTCGTTCATGAATGTACATGTGAGGGGGGTGTG